ATAGCCACGGGGCTATACTGCACAAAATGTTTTTACGAACTTCATAAATTACTAAATAAGTAGTAATTAATTATTTTAAATTATTTTGTGGATTTTTTTTTTGATATACAAAATTAGTTTGTTTAGTTTAATAATTGCAATTAAGTAATATCTGAACCTTATTTAATTATTATTTATTTAATGAATAATTAGTATTTAAAATATTTTAATTAATTTCATAAGTTACTTAATAAATCATAATTAATTATATTTACTCATCTTAAATAATTTTGTCGACTTTAAAATTATTTTTAGTATTCCAAACCCTAAAAGTCGCTTAGGATGTTAGGGAAGAACTATTAGTTAAGTGATCTCTTTGTTTTTCTTATTGATCCACATATGAATCTGGTTTCTAGTTTTTCAGATGTAGGCTGTTTGTGGCACAGGGGACAGAGCCCGAAAATAATATGCATGTTTGACAAATGCCAGGTTCATTCTTGGAAAGAAGATAAAGAATGTGTTTTGAATTAGGGTTTCCAACAAAGGGTCAATATATTGAAATGGACATGGAATGGTTCCAAGTGGAACACCAGTAAGAAGTGTTTTAAGTTGATAAATGGAACACCAGTATCACCATGTTTGGGCTTTGGCAACCAAAAGTTAGTTTAGTTAGTTTAGTTAGTTGCCTATCCCACTAACTAAAAGAGTATTATTTTATACATTCTTCAAGCATAATATCAACAGTCCATAACATAGCAGTGAGAATGACCAAAACAAACCTAACTCAAAGATCATATACTTTACATTTTACATGAATAAAGAATATGACTTCACAGACACAATCTTATCTTAAGTTTTAGCCGAAATTTGTCCTGGTATTAGCGGCACAAGCTTTCTTTCTTTCTACAAGCATTTCAAATTATTGACAGAGTTCCATTGACAGACAGGTAAGTTCAAATTGTTGGACTTCAGACTCCAGCTTGAAGAAGGGGTGAGTTATGGTCATCAGTGCTTCTTGGATGGCGTATTGGCATCAGAGCTGGATCCTTATATGCAGTGCTTAATGTATCATAAAACACAGCTATTGTAGGATCATTTTGGTCTTCTCTATCTTTCTTCATCAAACACTGTATATAAAACACAGTAATTAGACCCTACATGCCAAAATGTCGGCTGAGGCATTGTTTAGCTTTTAGAAAAGACATACAAGGGACAAAAAAGTGTAGGAAAAGAAGCAATATTTGCCAATAAGATGCAACAAAAGATCATAACCGCTTGGGTTTCACTATCAGATTTTGACATAACGATATAGAGTGAATGCTATAGATCAAAGTTGGAATATTAGCTAAATACAAAATCAAAACTAAATAGATGGTTTTGGTGCCAACTTACCTCAACAGGATAGTCTTTGAATATTGGTAGAAATCGTTTACGGCAGTACTCATTAAAAAGAAGTGTGAGAATTGGAAGAGGGACAGTCAAACTAGAAGCTAAGGAAAGCTTCTTAAGCCCAAATATCCCAATTGCAATAACGTGCATCAGTACCAAGGAAAAAATTGTTGAGTTGTGCACAGTTGGCCAAAATCTTCCGCCAGTTTCATACTTGGGTGCATATACATTTAGCAGCTGTTGCAAATAGGTAAATACAATGAATAATACAAATAAAATTTCCACCAATGACCAAAAACATAACTTAGATGGTACAAACTAGGAAGTACTATCAAAGTGTCAGCAAGTATTTGAGTAGTAAGTTAGTAATTCAACTCAGCAAGGATCCTATATGAGCTTTTGATATCCCTAGAACAAATTGCCAAAAATCAAAAGACATTTCAATGAAGAGAAAATTTCACCATGCAGAAAGCTTCTTTGCCTGAGGTTTCGAGGTGCTCAGTTTGGGGTTGTATCAATTTTTCTTTGTGGTATCATGGAGCCACAGAGTGATTTTACCCTTGCACCAATAATTTTTGGGTGGTATCATGTAGCCTGATTTTACCCTATAATTTTTCGTGATACAACCTATATTTTGGAGTTTCAGTCTGCTCCTTGAAACACTAATTGTTAGTCAGAAGGACCCAATATGTTGCATTGACAGTTTTTGAAAAATAAAGTTATATCATGTCCTAACTCCCAACTTCCCTCCCATGCCACCTTTTCTCTAAATTAAATTATGATCAGTCTATGCCTTAGAGGTCTATTATAGTTAAATGAAATAGGCATTCTATGAACCACGGAGTAAATAACAATCCAATTTGACGGGTAGCTACAATTTAAATCAGGACAATGCTTAGTCATGCGGATCAATCCATAAGAAATATTGACATAATGGCATTAGATTTACAACGAGATTATGTAAATTTGTGCAATTAGTTCAGAAAATATATGTGTGCCCAAGCTGTCACTTGATTATACTGATTGTAATATTATACTATGCTATTCACCTTTAATGAGCATTAATGTTCGAAGTAGGTTGTCTCATCTTGAAAGGTAGAATTTTAATCATTTTCATCCAATAATTTTGCATAAAAAGAAAGCATTCAACTAACCTGGTTACGGTAGATTATGTATCCCAGACAACAGTAAACCAAAAGGAAGGGGAGAATCAGCGGAGCCAGGAAGAAATATGTTATTCCAAGGAGTCCAAAAAACAGAACTTTAGGAATGTCACTGTGGTATGGAATTGAAGGAACCTCAAATTCATCATCATCTTTTCCTGAAAATGGTCTTTTTATAATACTGGAAATCAGGGGATGCAGGCGGAAGAGCTCTGAGGATAGAAGACTGGTCCATCCAGATGTCACAACATATGCAATGAAGAATGATGCCTGCATCCAAGATAAAGAACATATATAATATCCTTCATCATCAATTCCTGATGTAAATAAATGGTTTCAAAAGTTCAACTTTTAACATTTAAGCCAAATCTCAAGTTCGG